GTTATTGGTAACAATATAAAAAATATAGTATACTACCGGGATGACTTTTGTGTTGGTGCTATTAATGATGAAGAATTAAAATGGAAAACCAGTATGATTTTGAATATATTAAAAATGCTGGATTAACAATTAATAAAAAAAATGTGTGCACAACATTAAAAAGATATCATTTTTGGGATATTCCATATCTAATGAAGGCATATCACCAGATCAATCACTAATTGACAAAATATTAAAAGTTGAAGTACCTAAGAATAAAAAAAGAATTGGAATCTTTCTTAGGACTTTTTGTAAATTTCTACAGAGTGATACTCCAAATTGACAAAACCTTTTGTTGCTTTAAGGAAAAAGAATGTGGAATTTATTTGGACAAAAGAAGAACAAGTGGCACTTGAAAATTTAAAAGTTGTTATGACAAAGAAGCCAGAGGTAAAAATATTCAACCCTAGAAAGGAATTAGTAGCAACAACTGACATAAGTGAACCCTCAATTTTGGAAATATTACTTTAGGATGTATCTTTTGAGAAAATTGTCAAAAGCTGAATTGAACGTTTTATATTACTGAGTAAGAAGCATTGGCCATAATATGGATGGCAAATAAAGCTTGTCAGTTTTTGTTTGGAAAGAAATTCCTAAGATCTGACCATAGACCATCATATTTAATTGTAGGAAGGAACTTCCTAAGGTAATATCTTCTAAAATTTTAAGATAGGCCTTAATGTTAATAGTGTTCGACTTTGATATTAAATACATGAAATGCAATACCATTTCACATGTAGACGCTTTGTTGAGATTGAGGTTTATTACTTCTGAATGTGAGAGAGAGGAGGAAAAATTCAAAGATATTTTCTTATACTGGGTCAAAATGGATATTTTGTTGATTGAGATCCCATATTGAACAGTATATTGTTCAGGATAAAAAATAATAAGTGGAATAATTGCTCACGAGTAAAAAAGGTGTTTTAAAAAGCTTAAACACAAGTTAACTGTAGAAAATGGTGTAATTTGTAATGGAGATATAATGGTTCTGCCAGCACCAAAAAGGAGCAAAATTATAAAGAAGTATACATGACGATGTTCATTGCAGAATAACATCTATGCAAAGGTGATTAAAGCTAGAGGCATGGTGGCCAGGCTATTTTACAGATGTAAAAGAATACATAAACATTGTTTCACAAGAAAGAAAATCTGCCTGCATTGTGGAAACTCTTTCTGGACAAAGTTGAAGATATTTTGGAGGCAGTTCTAGAAATGAACCCATATGACACTCTCAAATAAAGCAAATTGTTAAGCTAAAGAAGCCATGCTTGAAAAACATATTATCAACATGGAAATTGGAGACAGGATCCCTTCACAACTTCTGCGACACATAAAGAGCCATGTAGGACAAATTTCAATGTCTGAAAAAATACTGTGATGACTGTGGTTGGATAAACTCCTTACTACTACAGCACAAATTCTAGCACCGATTACATATGACATGCCACTAGATAAACTAGCATCTGTTTTACAAATACTTCCATGGTAATTGCTCTGATGAGCTGCTTTTACTGGTTCCCAGACTTCATGAATTGAAGCGCCCTACGAGGCTGGCATCCTGCTCTCACCCTTTCACTGTAGAAACTTTTAAATGTAGCCATCTCTTCTACTCCAATAGCTTCATACCTCGCACCTCTCACCTGTGGAACACCCTTCCCTATTACTGTTTCCCTGAGAGCTATAATCTCCAACTATTCAAATGTAATGTCAATCAACATCTCCAGTTACCTTGATCTATCCCTCTCCTCATCCTTTCTTCTATCACTACTATCTGCTCTCGCTCCAAATCTTCTGCAACCCCCCTGCATCCTAGTGGCTTCACGCTTTGCTCGGGGCGTAATGCTTTAAAATAAAAAAATACAGTGGACAGAATACATGGAGGACATAATCAAAGAATAAATGATGAAATCTGTCAAATGAAGGCCAAAATGAGGCAACTGAAAAAACTTAGTCTCTCATACTTCAAAACGGTAAATCCAGGAGCTCAGAAACAATTACCATGGGAGCTTGAGTAGAGAAAGATCCCAAAATAGAACAGAGTATGCCATTACTACTCCATGTTTGGCAAAGACACCAAGAAATGCATTATTCCATGCAACTTCAACAACCCAAACACTCAGGGAAACTTTTTTTTTTTAAATCATTTCACCCCAAGCAAGACAATAATACCACTAACATGCAAGCGGTTACTGAGTGTTAGCGAATATGAGAAAAATATACTATTAAAGAGAGAAGACAATAAGAGAACAAGAATTAAGAAGATAAGCAAGTTTGTATGTTTAATATTATTAATAAATAAAAATATAAAACAATAATAAATATAAATAAAATAAAATAAAACAAATAACATTAAAACTTTGTTTAAAATAAAATAAATAAAACCAAAATAATATAAGTTCTCCCAGCATGCAACAAAAACTTTCCTGTCTGAAAATGGAGACTTTACACCAAAAAGTGCCAAATTCACTCTCTTCACTACAGACACTCAAAGGTCAAGACAGCCATATCCTTGGCACCTTGTTTGTCATAAGACAAGTGACTTTCTTTCTCTATTACATACAACCTTAAACATAACTAAAATAGACACACACCAGTACAGAGAAATAAAATTATATGATTTTAATTTATAATTTAACATGCTTTTAAGTATTATTTCCTTGTATTTTGCTATTCCTGTGAACACAAAGCTGTCCCTGCTGGTATGATGTGAGTTTATCCCACAAGTTCCTGTCAACAATTTTTTTAAAAATCTAGTTCACCCCAAGCAAGGCAGTAAAGCCACTAAGACACACAGGTTACTGGGTGTGAAAGAATTTGGAAATGGAAACATAACTAAGGAACAAGAACAAAACAAAAGAAGAGCAATCAGGAGGACAGTAGATAGCAATTGACATTGCATTTAAATTTTTGAAGATTAAAGTTGACTGGAAATCATGGAGCCAGAAGAGAGTTCCACAAGTGAAAAGTGTGAGAAAAGAGACTGTTAGCATAGAACCTATGATTACATCTAACAAAATCAACTATAAATTGGTGAAACCTCATTGCCAGTCTAGTACTGCACTTAAATTCATAAAGTTTCAGTACATTAGCAAAGAGCTCATCTGAATAACTGGCAACAACTGTGACTGGAGCAAGTACAAAATGTTGTTTGTTTTATATAAAGGGTATAAATAGTGGTTAGACAGTTCTTGTCAACACTGGACCAGAAATGAGTGTTATTCTCCCACCCACCTGGGCATAGATTAACCCCTTCAACATTTCAACTGCAGGCAAAAAACAGTTCTAAAATCTAGGCATGGTAAATGAGAACTTACCCCCAAATTACAGTTGATCAATGCCAAATAGCCACTTTCCTACATTTCTTTTTAAGCCATTGTGTGCTAATCTGTGTAGAACTTGGTGCAAGTGGGATTTTTGTTGTACCTTATCTTGACTTGCAATGATCATGTCATCAATGTATGTACACACATTGGGTAGTCGTCTTAATATGTTGTCATTTAGGCACTGGAATGTTTTGGTAGCATTGCTCAGACCAAAAGGCATTGGTTAGAACTCAAAAAGTTCAAAGAACATTGCAACTGCTGTTGCAATAAATGTTTGGTTGTGAAAGAAATGAAATAACAAGGATTAAGTTTTTCAACATGTATTTGTTTAATATACAAGATATCTTACAGTATTGTTGGAAAATTAGTGAAATGTTGACGGATGCTAATTTTGGGTCATCAAATTGAGAAAAAAGGAATTACTTCCCTACCAACAAAGGTACAGGCGATACAACAATTCCAACATCAACCTCAGTTTGACAGTTGCAATGTTTCATCAGGCTTATCAATTACTACTGATGGTATATTCTGAATTGCTCTATGATACTGCCACCATTGACAAATATCTGACATGACAAAGTAAAAAGGTGGAATCAGACTCACTCACTTCATGCAGAAGCACTGGATGTGTTCAACAGAACCAAATCTGCATTGGTCAACTTTATAAAACCTTGTGAACAGCCTGAAAGAGAGGGGGAATGCAGAAGAATTCAAGCTGAAACAAGTTCAGCCTACTTTCTGAGCTGCTAGAAGAAACAATAAACACAGCCTGTACAATATCTGGAAGACAATGTGCCAAATAGTCCTGGGGAGGAAAACAAGAAAACACAAAGAGTAGTTGACAACAGAAACATGAAAAAAGAAATGAAAGACCAGATCAACTAAACCCAAGACCTAGAAGAAAAGCAGGAATTGCAAACAAACTACTGGGAGAAGAACCAGGAAGTGAAGAGAAGTGCTAGAAAAGACAAGGGAAACTTCATTAAGGGCCTGACCCAAGAAGCAGAGACTGCAGTGGACCAAGGAAACATGAAAAAGCTGTATGAAATCACAAGATCTCTCTCTGGAAAAAACAGTAAACCCAGTTGCCCCGTCAAAGACCAGAATGGCAGTATCATCTCAGGGGACATTAACACTGCTCCCCCTACCAAAAATGAGAATGTGGAATACTCAATAAAAAAAAGGATAAGAACAGAAAAGAAACTAAATTAAATTGGCAAGATTATATACCTAAACACATCTAAAAAAAATAAAATTTAAAAGTTTTACATTTCAGTGTCTCCTTTGTATATGTAGTCATGTCAATGGAAATATCACTTTAGTCCAATGAAATCCTAAATGATGAAACACACCACACAAAAAAACTTTTCCATTTTGTCATTAATTTTTGTAACATACAGTGGGGAAAATAAGTATTTCATCCCCTGCTGATTTTCTGAGTTTGTCACCTTACAAAAATAGGAACGGTCAATAATTTTCAGGGTAGGTCCAACTTGAAAGTGAGAGATAGAATATAAAAAAAAATTCTAGAAAATCTTTGAAAATTTTTAGGTCAAGGGAGAACAAAAGGCACTCATTGTGTTACTGGCCCTCAGAACCTGCTGATATATTTTTTTTAATGGACTGTGATTGGACAGTTTAAAGGTGACCCCCCCCCCTTTGAAAGGGAAAGGAGAACTGGGACTGGACCTTAGCAGCAGGTGAAAACGAGACCGCAGAGAGACAGGAGTTTTTCTCTCTCCTTGCTGAAAAGGCAGGCAGCATTTGCCCATAAAAGAAAGATGCATGGGTAACAAGGTTGCTGAGGGCAAATTTCCCCTTCAGAGAAAGTCCTCTTGAAGAAGCCCCAGAAAAGAAAGTTTGAAAAGAAGTCCATAAGTGGAGTTTGGAGCTAAAGCCGTTCGAGAAGAAGGAGCAAACACGTATGTTTTCAAAAAGTGTTTTAAGTAAATTTTCACCTTCTAGTGGCCGTAAAAGAAAGGCGTAATTGCCAGTGAAGAAAGGAGGGAGTTTGGTCACCAAGAAGAGAACTTTATCTACACAAGAGAGAAAAGAAAAAAGATAAAAACTTTTGAACCTTGAAAGGACTGAAAGTGTACTGAAGAGCTAAGGCTCTTCCCCCTTTTTTTTTTGTTGTTGTTATCATTGACACAGCAGGTGGGCACTATTCTTTTTTGGGGTTTTTGGTGATTTGTAATTTTTAAGTTTTGTTTTCTGCTATACTTTTTTACATTGTGTTACTCAGAGAATAGGTTATCTTATTCTCAGCAAAAAGGGACAAATTTTTGCAAGGACCCTTATTTAGCTGATTAGAAATAAATATTTTTTCTTTGTAATTGAATCTGATTTGCATTTTCTTTCTTTCTTTTTCATTATTAATTCGGGCAATAGTGAAAATACTGCTGCAACAGGTTTTATTTTCTCAAAGAAAAGAAAATTTCCAAAAAATCACATTATATTAATTTTTGAACATTTCTTTCTTTTTTATTTAAAAAATAAGTATTTCACCCCATAGCAAAACATAACTTAGTATTTGATGAAGAAACCCTTGTTGGCAAGCACAGCAGTCAGACGTTTCCTGTAGTTGGTTACCAAGTTTTTACAGATCCCAGGGGGGGATTTTGGCCCACTCCTCTTTGCAGATCATCTCCAAGTCCTTAAGGTTTGTAAGATGTCGTAGGACTAGTCTATATGCCTCCTGGTCACATAACTGGTCTGTGGGGCTTGAATCATTGCTAGTTAGTAGGGGTGAAATATTTATTCTTTCAATAAAAAAGAAATAAATGTTCAAAAATTAAATGTGATTTTCTAGAATTTTTTTATATTCTATCTCTCACTTTCAAGACGGACATACTCTGAAAATTATAAATAGTTCCCATTTTTGTAAGGTGGCAAACTCAGAAAATCAGCAGGGGATGAAATACTTATTTTCCCCACTGTATATATTATTCATAAGTTTCTATTATTTATCATTTAAGCAGCAGCAGCAACAACAACAGCAATAGCAGCAGCAGCAGCAGCAGCAGCGACAACAACAATGACGATGACGATGATAACAACAATAATAATATCCAGGATGTGGTAACATAGCAGCCAAGGGATTTGAAAAACTATCAAAGTATAAAAGAATGAAAATAAAAATGAAATAGAAAAAAAAATGTGGAAATTGAAAACAAGAACAGTACCAGTCATAGTAGGTGTGCTTGGAATGATAAAAAAGAAACACAACACATTGAAAAAATCTCTGGGAATCCCAGCTTAAGAGAAATACAAAAAACTGTCTTGATAAGTACAGCCCACACACTAAAAAGAACTTTGTCTATGTAATGCTAGCGATAATACTAATAAGAATAATAATGATAATAATAATAATAGCGATATAATCAAGGATGGAACTAACCTGAAATGCAGGATCTGTGGAAAATATGATGAAGCTGTCGAACAGGATGTGCAGAACTAGCAAAAAATGAATATATCCACAAACATAACAAGGTAGCAACATATATGCACTGGAAGATATGCAAGAAGCACAAAATCAAAATGTTTTATAGGCCTGTTACCCCATCTTCATTTAAATTTATGAAAATAGCATGAAAAATTAAATGAAGAATTTCAAAACAAATTATTTTAATTAAAATAAAAATCAAAAGTTTTCCAATTAAAAAGAGCCTATTATTTGTTTCTAGAGGAACATTTAACTTTCTAATTCATCCAAAATCTCTTTATGTTTAACTGGATAAATTTTATATTAAAGATAGTATTTTAAATGGACAAACAATTTAAATTTGATATTTATCATTTGACTGTCAGCAAAATAGTGGAGACTAAACTCATTAGATATAAATCTGAAATGTCTATCAGAAAAAACTATTTTATTGGATTATTTTATGTATTTTTATTTCTTGATTTATACAAATATCGGTTTTTGGCCCCAAATGTTTAATAAATCCTTAGCATTTATTGACCCCTTTTGACACCCCCTATTGAACCTCTAGATAGGCGCATTGACCCCCAGTGGTCAATATCAACCACTTTGGGGGGGGGGCAGTTATTAAATTCTGAGAACAAATTATAATTTTAGTATTCAAAAGTTATACATGAGAAGAATATTCTTATCCCAAAGAAATTACAAGTTATAAAGAATGTCAAAGAAAGTCATAAAAAGTCTTAAACAAAGTTGTAAAAAAGTTTTAAACAAAGTCATAAAGAAAGTCATAAAAATACATGAAGAAAGTTATAAACCTAGTCATAAAGAAAATCATAAACATAGTCATAAAGAAAATCATAACGAAGTCATAAACATAGTCATAAAGAAAATATTTTTAAAAAATCAAGTGCCTTCTAATATGACTGTATGAAGTATTTACAGGTTAATTTGTTTACTGGATTTTTCTTTTACAATTTTCATTTTTTATATCATTTCCTGATTTACAAACAATTTCTTGTAATAATTGTTTAAAAATAGTTTTGGGAAGTACTAATTTTATTATCATTTAAAACATCCTATTTTGATAGACAAAACTTGCTTTATTAGTAAATGAACAGACTATCAAGATGTATTCACTCCTCTTATTTATTTCTACCAATATTTAAATTTGATATGTCTTTCCCAAGAATTTGGAAAATCCAAGGTGATATCTATTCTTAGAAGGGCCTTGGATCAACCTGATTCCTGAATATCCCACATTGTTAGACATCTACGCTAATAAAAAGGCCTTATCTAAAATAAAATTCCAAAAAGAAGGAAAAACTTGCGTAATATTATTATTTCCACCTTCAAAATTACAACCTTGTATTTATCTAAATCCATTAGGAATATGACACATATCAGGCAATCATTACTTTCCACTCTATTATCTATGAATTGCCATACATTCTTGGAAAAGTTTTGGAGTGAACACTTCCGCTTGATTTAAAGATCTGACATTCCAACAGTGTACAACAATTGCTTTTCCTCCCTTTTGTTTTATATATTTTTGTATATAATTATATATACTTTAAAATGTCCATTTTTAAAGCTTTAATATGATTACTGGTAAGCTAAAACATTGATACTTGCTTTTTAGACACAGACAAAAGTTAGCTTCTCATGGAAGAGCCTAGTTTTAGAGGAATTTTATTCTCCAATACTAGAACCAGTATTCAAAATGAATACCCAGAAATCGTTGTCCTCCACAACCCTTGACACTTTTTTCATCATCTCTTCAACTTTTCTCATTGCCAACCCACTGTTCTATTTATTCTTCACCCTACTATGTAAAGGGTTACTCAGTCTGAGCCAGTTACACTCTTTAACCCAAAACTTTAGTATACCTCTGTTAACCGTTCATGAGAAAGTCATTGTTAATACTAGGTACTCTATATTTGAAATTTTTGGCTGAGAATTCTTTATCCGAAATTCTTGGGACTAGAAGTACTTGGGATTTCAGATTTCTTTGATTTGAGAATGCAGGCTATTTAATTTATATATAGCATCTATAAAATGGGGCAGCTTGGGAAAGGAACCCAAGTATAAACATGATATCCCTTTACATTTCATAACACAGCTTATACATATATACCCTGAAGGTAGTTTTATATAAATAACATATACCCCGAAAATAGTTTTATATAAAATTTAATAAATTTTGTGTACATACAGATACAGGTAATGGCACTAGTCATGTAATGCTCACATGGATTTTTAAGTGGTGAAATTAAGATTTCATGTAAAATCAATGTTTTGTACTTTCTGTATGTGTACAAAAAATGATCACTACTTACAAAAAATATATAAATGCAATACTGACACTACTTTTGCATCAGGTGTGAGAAACTGGAGAGGGAGGGTACATTATCAATGACATCACTGTGAGTGTGAAAAGGGAAATTCAATAAGCTATCAGTCTCTATCAATGATGTTGTGTTTTGATTAAAATGTTACAATACAAACAGGTAGAGTATTTGTATAAAAACAAAACATGGATTCTGATTAATGTTAAATGAAATTAAAACTGAAAAAATATCAGCATTTTATTTGTAACACTATAACAATAATCATGCTATGGGTAGCCATGTTGTTTTCTGAAATTTTCCATTTGTGGCAAGTCATCTCAGCACTGGAAAAACTTTGGGGTTTTAGAGGTTTTCGGATGTTGGAATTTCAGATAAAGGATACTCAGATTGTATTTAGCTGTATGGAGTAATTATACATATAATTATACATATAATTATATACATATAATTATACATATAATTATATACATATAATATACATATAATTATATACATATATATACATATATATACATATAATTATACATATATATATATATAATTATATACATATAATTATATACATATAATTATATACATATAATTATATAATATATACATATAATTATATACATATAATTATATATATATACATATAATTATACATATAATTATACATATAATTATATACATATAATTATACATATAATTATATACATATAATTATACATATAATTATACATATAATTATATATATATACATATAATTATATACATATAATTATACATATAATTATATACATATAATTATACATATAATTATATACATATTATACATATATACATATAATTATATACATAATTAATATAATATATATATAATTATACATATAATTATATACATATAATTATACATATAATTATATATACATATAATTATACATATAATTATATACATATATATTATACATATATATATACATATAATTATAATATAATATATACATATAATTATACATATAATTATATACATATAATTATACATATAATATATACATATATTATATATATAATTATATACATATATTATACATATAATTATATACATATATTATATACATATATATACATATATATTATATAATTATATATAATATAATTATATACATATATTATTATATATATATAATTATACATATAATTATATACATATAATTATATACATATATATATATATATATATAATATATATATAATTATATACATATAATTATATACATAT